ACACACTGGGGCCGCTCCTGGCCTGCAAAGCCGCCCCGCGTGAAGCGGCTGCCGCTGTCGATGACCACCGCAGGCTTCAGCATGGCTGGGGCTCCTCAGGGATAACAGGCATGGAGGAACAGCCTGCAGTGCGACAGGAGGGTCTGGTGAGGGCAAAGCAAGCTCAGGTGCCTGCTCTGCCCCACTGGGGGACAGCAGTGTCTGCTCTGGAAGCGGCTGGGTTTGTCCCTCCTGGCTCCCTGTCTCACTGGGCATCCCTGCTTGTCTCCATCCCCTGAGGTTCTCTGACAGTGCAAGGACAGAAGTTCAGGTGCTTCTAAGGAAGCAAGTGAACACTGGACAGGAAAGTTGAGTGGTTGGACTAAATCCTGGGCTGTATCTGGAGAGGTGCCAGAATGTCAAAGGAGGTGACTCTGCTCATCTACTCTGCTCTTGTGAGACTCAATTTGGAATATTGTGCACAATTCTGGTGTCTCCAGCATAAAAAGGACATGGAACTGTTGGAGCAATTTCAGAGGAGACCACAGAGTTTCTGAGGATACTGGAACACCTCCCCTCTGGAGACAGGCTGAGAAAGTTGGGTCTGTTGAGGCTGGAGAAGAAAAGGTTGTGTGGAGACCTCCCAGCACCTTCCCAGGGTGTGAAAGGGCTGCAGAGAAGCGGGAGAGGACTCTGTCAGGAACTGTGGTGACAGGACAAGGGGAAATGGGATAAAACTGAAAGAGGGGAAATTTATGCTGGATATTAAATGCAAGAAATTCTTTACTGTGACTGTGAGGAGGCCCTGGGACAGATTTCCCAGAGCAGCTGTGGCTGCCCCTGGATCCCTGGCAATGCCCAAGGCCAGGTTGGACAGGGCTTGGAGCAACCTGGGACAGTGGAAGGTGTCCCTGCCATGGCAGGGGACATTGGAACTGGATCTCTGAGGTCCATTCCAGTCCCTTAACATCCTCTGATTCCATAAATGCTGCTGCCAGTAGAGCCCATAGCACACAGAGAGGAGCTGAGAGGAGCTGTGATCCCAGCTGGCAGAGAAGGGCAGGATTTTGGGGTGCCTCTGTGTGTGTCCAGGCCTTTCCCTGGCTCTCTGTGCCTCCCAGACCTGCTCCTGTGGCATGGTGTGCCTCTTGACCTGTTCTTTGGGCACTCTCCAGGCCAGGTGACCCTTCAGAGGACACAGTCTCAGGCTATGTCAGGGAAGGTACAGGTTGGGTATTAGGAAAAAGTTTTTCACTATAAGAATAACAAAGTACTGGAATGCTCTTCCCAGGGAGGTGGTGGAATCACCATCTCTGGAGGTGTTTAAACAAAGATTGGACATGGCACTTGGTGCTGTAGTCTGGGTGAGGTGTTGGAGCATGGGTTGGACTTGATGATCTTAGAGGTCTCTTCCAACCTCATGATTCTTGGATTCTGTGATTCTGTGATTTGTTCTCCCCCAAGCTTCTCACGTGCCCCTCTGGTTGCACTTTTACACCACCCATCAGAAATTCATCAGGGAGTGTCTCATGGGAGCAGCCAGGCTGGCACGGTTTCCCTGGGCAGAGAGGGCACAAAGCCAGCCCTGCCAGTGCTGGGAGGGTCCCTGGAGGAGCTGTCAGCACCCAGGGGCCACCACAGGCTCCCAGCCTGTCCCCAAGCCCTGCAGTGTGTGAGCAGGGGCACAGGGGATGCTGTGCCAGCCTGGGGCCCTCCCTGGGGCTGGGGCTGTCCCTGAGGGTGACCCTGACCTTGTGGCTGGTGTCCATGTGCCCTCCTGGAGCTGGCAGGGCTGGGCTGTGGGTGCTGGGCAGGAGTGCCCATGGAACCATGGCTGCATGCCCTGCTGTGATCTCACAGCAATGCACCCCGAGGGTTCTCCTGCCCCACAGCCTCACTTCTACCCCCAAGTGTCAATTGTGGTGATAATTAAAATTTGATTGAAACCCACCCTGTTGCAGACATCTTTTCATTAAAAATCTTTCCTTAAGATTTTTTCCTCCTGAGAAGCTGAGAGGCCCCAGGAACAAAATGTAAACAATGGTTATCTGCTGCTGTGGAATGCAACAGGTGGATTTGTGATTGGTCTCATGTGGTTGTTTCTAATTAATGGCCAGTCACAGCAGAGCTGACTCAGACAGAGAGACAGTCTGAGGCAGCTGCCTTTGTTATCATTCTTGTTTTTCTATTCTTAGCTTAGCTAGCCTTCTGAGATGAAACCTTTTCTTCTGTTCTTTTTAGTATAGTTTTAATGTAATGTATATCATAAAATAATAAATCAAGCCTTCTGAACATGGAGTCAGATCCTCATCTCTTCCCTCACCTGAAAACCCCTGTGAACATGGTCACACCACCCCTTTTGGTTTATTTAAGGGACAGCCCCTTCCAGGTGTGGCTCTGCTGCCCCTGCACAGAGGCAGGTCTGACACATCCTGTCCCCTCTGCCCAGAGGTACGAGACAGCCTCCAAGATGGAGCAGTTCCTGACGCGGTTCCTGCTGCGGGAAACCATGCACCAGCTGCAGTCCCTGCAGGCGTCCCTCGAGTGCGCCGTGGACACCGTGGAGGAGCAGGCGGGGCGGGAGAGGTGATGGGATGGGATGGGATGGGATGGGATGGGATGGGATGGGATGGGATGGGATGGGATGGGATGGGATGGGATGGGATGGGATGGGATGGGATGGGATGGGAGAGGTACTGGGATGGAACAGGAGAGGTGGGACAGGGTGGAACGGGAGAGGTACTAGGGTGGGATGGAAGAGGTACCGGGGCAGGAGAGGTACCGGGATGGAATGGGAGAGGTACTGGGATGGGATGGGATGGGATGGGATGGGATGGGATGGGATGGGATGGGATGGGAGAGGTACTGGGATGGAACAGGAGAGGTGGGACAGGGTGGAACGGGAGAGGTACCGGGGTGGGAGAGGTACTGAGGTAGGATGGGAGAGGTACCGGGATGGACACGAGAGGTATCGGGTGGAACATGTCCAGCCCCAGTCCCCAGCCCTGCTCCTCACAGCCAGGAGCCCTTTCCCAGCCCAGTGCGGAGCTGGCACCTCTAGGAATGGCTTCAAGCCCTCCTTTTGCATTTTTTGTTTTAATTCCAGAAAGGAGATCAAGAACTCGCAGACTTCGGTTGCCCTGAGGTCAGGGAGGCGCTGTGGGCGCAGGGGACAGAAGAACGTCTGTCTGTCCCCAACAGACCCCTACTCTGGGATGCTGACAACAGGTACCTGCTGTTCCTCAGTTCTTTCTGTCCTGCTGGAGCCTGGAGGGGGTGTGGGACCAGCGCAGAATCACAGTAAGGTGGGAAAAGATCTCCAAAATTGAGTCCAGCCATTCCCCCAGCTCTGCCAAGGCCACCTCTAACCTGTGTCCCCAAATGCCACATCTCCAGCAGCACTGGGCAGTGAGGGCTCCTCCAGGATGGAGCCTGGAGCATCTCACCCAGGTGCCAGCTGGAGCTTCTTGGGGATGTTGTGTCTCTTGGACAGGAGAAAAAAATCAAGTTTTTTGGATTAAATCTGACGTTTAGAAGATTTTTTGGGGTTTGAGTCTTGAGCAAGCTTTGGCCATGACAAAGCTGAGCTTTTTTTGGGTGACACCTCTGTGCCCTTTGCCCTGCAGGTGTTTGTGTCGAGGACAACAGCCAGTGGATGGCTCAGATCAACAGGCTCCAGCAGCTCATCGAGAAGCTGGAGTGCAAGGTGTGTGTGTGCCCGGGGGTGCTGGGGCTGCCCCACACCTGGGCACGGCCACTGGGACCCCCCTCCCATCAGTGCCAGCACCCCCTCTTCAGCCCTGGCATTGGCACAGAGCTGCCCCAG